GTGGCGGGCGCCTGTAGCCCCAGCTACTTGGGAGGCGGAGGCAGGAGACTCGCTTGAGCCCAGGAGTTGGAGGTTGCTGTGAGCTGTAATGCCATGGCACTCTACCCAGGGGGACAGCTTGAGGCTCTGTCTCAAAAAAAAAAAATAAAGCAAATTTAAGTAGATAGCCTTCTAATTTTCCTTTTTATATGTAAAGTTTTACATACCACTTTGTAAACAAAATTATTATACATGTATTGTTTCATATCCTATTCCTTTTTCTTATTTTACACAATGCCTATCTTTCTATGTCCTTTTATGTAGGACTCTTTTTTTTTTTTTTTTGAGACAGAGCCTCAAGCTGTCCCCCTGGGTAGAGTGCTGTGGCATCACAGCTCACAGCAATCTCCAACTCCTGGGCTCAAGCGAGTCTCCTGCCTCAGCCTCCCAAGTAGCTGGGACCTCAGGCACCCGCCACAACACCTGGCTATTTTTTGGTTGCAGCCATCGTTGTTTGGCGGGCCCGGGCTGGATTCGAACCCACCACCTTAGGTGTATGTGGCTGGCGCCTTAGCCACTTGAACCACAGGCACCAAGCCTGGAGTGAAAATTCTTACGTGTATCCTTGGCCAGTTATATAGAATTTATAAATCTGAGAAGTAAAATGACTGAGTCAAAAGAGTATACAGATTTTAAATTTTTATAGATTTTGCCAGATTGCCTTACAACTAGGGACACTGTGCTGTCACATATAAACTCATCAACTGTGTCCAACTGGGACACAAGTACCTAATTCTGCATAAGTTTGCCAACCCTGAATATTACTAAATTTTAGCAGCCTGGTTTCTGGGGGCACAGGGGGAATTAAATCACACTAAAACAAGAGTATATATCTGAAGTCTAGAAGAATAGTCCTCAGAAGGTGCATCAGAATGACACTTATGTGTGTTCCTGCATTTTTCCAGGGAGAGATCTTACTCGATATCACCTAATATGCAGAGGGATGCATTAGGACCCCCAGTTGCATGACATCTTGGAGCCTGTCTGTTCCTCACTTTAAGAGCAGAAAGAGCTATTGGCAGAGTCCACCAATGGACTGGTTAAGCAGGGTCACATTAGGCTGGGTGGGGAGCAATGGATGATGGAGCTAGGGCTGACTTATCTGCCCAGGAAGAAGGCGTGCAGCGGGCCCGAGAGGAGGAAGAGAAGCGCAAAGAGGTGACCTCACACTTCCAGGTGACCCTGAATGACATTCAGCTGCAGATGGAACAGCACAATGAGCGCAACTCCAAGCTGCGCCAAGAGAACATGGAGCTGGCCGAGAGGCTCAAGAAGCTGATTGAGCAGTATGAGCTACGAGAGGAGGTAGGCTGATCACAGACAAAGATCATGACTAGGAGATTATGCGGTTTCAGATGTGTGCCAGGCGCTAGGACAATACTTTTCAGGCTTCATCTCGTCTCCCATTCTTCTTCCTCCTTTCTAAGAAAAAAATAATGTTGCCATTCTTCCTAGATGAGAGATATGGAGAAGTGACTCACCCAGAACCACATAGCTGCCCCAGGTGCACAGTGCCTTGTCCCAAAGGATGAGATTAGGTATCATTTGGAATTAGAGCTATCTATATTTTATTTATTTATATATATATTTTTTCTTTTTTGCAGTTTTTGGCTGGGGCTGGGTTTGAACTCGCCACCTCCGGCATATGGGGCCAGTGCCCTACTTCTTTGAGCCACAGGTGCTACCCTATATTTTAGAATGGAGATACCTGCATATGCTGTGTGTATCTGCTGTGTGTATCAGCCCAGTAGGATCTGAAGGCAGCACCTCCAAATCTGACGTTTTAATGTTTATACAGTGGAACGTCCAAGTACTCACTTAAATTATAGCTATAGCCTTACCATGGTGCAGATCAAGTTTGTCTGCCAGCTTATGATAGTTTCAGTTTTCAGAGCTTTGTAGAGTTTGGAATTGCAGGGAAGGGGCTATACCTTATGGACTTTAGGGACCATTTACTCCTTGCTGCTCTAATCTTTCTGCCACTTCAGGCATTTGAATTATTGGGTCCCCCATGCCAGCCACTTGGTTTTTCTGGGCCCATTACCTCATGAAGAGAAGGAAGAAAGCTGATTATGGTGTCTCAGGCCTGTAATCCTAGTACTCTGGGAGGCCAAGGAGGAAGGATCCTTTGAGTTTAGAAGTTCAAGATCTGGCTCGGCGCCTGTAGCTCAAGCAGCTAAGGTGCCAGCCACATACATCAGAGCTAGCTGTTTCGAATCCAGCCTGGGCCCGCCAAACAACGATGACAACTACAACCAAAAAATAGCTAGGGGCTTGGCGCCTGTGGCTAAGGCACCAGCCATGTACACCCAAGGTGGCGGGTTCGAATCCAGCCCGGGCCCGCCAAACAACAATGACGGCTGCAACCAAAAAACAGCCGGGCATTGTGGCGGGCACCTGTGGTCCCAGCTACTTGGGAGGCGGAGGCAGGAGACTTGCTTGAGCCCAGGAGGTGGAGATTGCTGTGAGCTGTGATGCCACCACACTCTACCCAGGGTGACAGCTTGAGGCTCTGTCTCATAAAAAAAAAAAAAAAAAAGAAGAAGAAGTAATT